GGGGCTTTTGGCATGTACACCCAACTACTATAATTCCTTGTACAACTATGTATCGTCTAAATAAACTATTTATTATTATTATTATTATTATTATTATTATTATTATTATTATTATTATTATACCTTGGTGGTCTTGGGCCTAGAGAAAATCTGAATAAACAGGACGTGTGGCGTTCTTTCTTATCTCTATTCTGGGACTGTGGGGGGGGGGCAGTCTCTTCTGGTTTCTCCGATACTCTGAAATTACTCCTGGAAATGAGTGAGCTACTCAAGTCCCAGTATGACTCGGTCTTTAGCGAGCCGCTAGCAGACTTTGTCGAAGACCTAAATGATTTTTTTATAAGCGCGAGACAGAATTTGGTAAATTCAAACCTATCATCTGATATTATCCTGACGCCAAATGACTTCGAAAAGGCAATAAATGACATGCCCATGCACTCTGCTCCAGGCCCAGACTCGTGGAACTCCGTGTTCAAGAACTGCAAGAAGCCCCTATCAGGTGCTTTTAACATCCTATGGAGAGGGAGCATGGACACAGGGGTATTCCCACAGCTGCTAAAAACAACAGACATAGCCTCACTTCATAAAAGGGCAGTAAAGCAATAGCAAAGACCTATAGACCGATAGTGTTAACATCCCATATCAAAAATCTTTGAAAGGGTTCTAAAAAGCAAGATAGCCACTCGTCTAGATACCCATCAGTTACACAACTCGGGGTAACATGAGTTTAGAGCAGGTCGCTCATAGCCCAGCTACTGGACCACTATAAGGCCCTGGATGCTCTAGAAGACGAACAAAATGCTTATGTAGCATACACACTTTGCAAAAGCCTTTGACAAGTGTGACCATGGTGTAATAGCGCACAAAATGCGTGATAAAGGAATAACAGGAAAAGTTGATAGATGGATCTATAATTTCCTAACAAACGGAACACAGTAGTAAATAGAATAGTCTGAGGGACTACTGTGAAAAGCTCTGTTCCACAAGGCACAGTACTCATTCTCATCCTGTTCCTCATCCTCATATCTGACATAGGCAGGGATGTAAGCCACAGTGCTATGTCTTCCTTTGCAGATGACACCTGAATTTGCACGAGTGTCCTCCAATAAAGACACTGCAAAACTCCAGGCGGGCATCAACCAGATGTTTAAATGGGCTGCAGAAAGCAATATGAAGTTCAATGATGATTAATTTAATTACTCCGATATGGAGTATAAAACAAATTCCAACCACACAATAGAGCGAAAAACTGATATAAAAGACCAGGGAGTGATAATGTCAGAGGATCTCACTTTCAAAGACCATCTGCTAGAAAAATGACAGGATGAGTAATGAGAACCTTCAGAACTAGGAATGCCAAGCCCATGATGACTCTTCAGGTCGCTTGTTCTATCTAGGCTGGCATATTACTGCACACTAACAGCACCTTTCAAGGCAGGTGAAAATGCTGACCTACAAAATGTACAGAGAACCTTCACAGCACACACAAGTAGTGCGAGAAAACACCTCAATTACTGGGATCGCTTGAAGTTCCTCAACCTGTACTCCGTAGAATGCAGGCGGGAGAGATGCATGATTATATACACTTGGAAAATCCTAGAGGGATTAGTGCCAAATTTACACACGAAAATCACTCCCCTGTATGAAAGCAAAGATTGGCAGATGATGCAACATCCCCGCAATGAAAAGCAGGGGCACCACTAACACGATAAGAGACAACACAATAAGTGCCAGGTGCGAAAGATATTTCAACTGCCTCCCAGCATACATACGGGGGATTTATTTATTTTTTATTTATTATTAATTTGAACATGATACATAAAGTACAAGGAAATAGTGGTTAAGTGTAACATGCCAAAGCCCCTTGTATGCAGAGCATTATGGGCAGGCTTAAAATTAACTTAAGATTAACTAAGCAATGATATATTCAGTGGTAAACATTACCTGGAGAAGTTACCTGGAGAAGTTACCTGGAGAGAGTTCCGGGGGTCAACGCCCCCGCGGCCCGGTCTGTGACCAGGCCTCCTGGTGGATGAGCCTGATCAACCAGGCTGTTACTGCTGGCTGCACGCAAACCAACGTACGAGCCACAGCCCGGCTGGTCAGGTACCGACTTCAGGTGCTTGTCCAGTGCCAGCTTGAAGACTGCCAGGGGTCTGTTGGTAATCCCCCTTATGTGTGCTGGGAGGCAGTTGAACAGTCTCGGGCCCCTAACACTTATTGTATGGTCTCTTAACGTGCTAGTGACACCCCTGCTTTTCACTGGGGCGATGGTGCATCATCTGCCAAGTCTTTTGCTTTCGTTGCGAGTGATTTTCGTGTGCAAGTTCGGTACTAATCCCTCTAGGATTTTCCAGGTGTATATAATCATATATATCTCCCTCCTGCGTTCCAGGGAATACAGGTTTAGGAACCTCAAGCGCTCCCAGTAATTGAGGTGTTTTATCTCCGTTATGCGTGCCGTGAAAGTTCTCTGTACATTTTCTAGGTCGGCAATTTCACCTGCCTTGAAAGGTGCTGTTAGTGTGCAGCAATATTCCAGCCTAGATAGAACAAGTGACCTGAAGAGTGTCATCATGGGCTTGGCCTCCCTAGTTTTGAAGGTTCTCATTATCCATCCTGTCATTTTTCTAGCAGATGCGATTGATACAATGTTATGGTCCTTGAAGGTGAGATCCTCCGACATAATTACTCCCAGGTCTTTGACGTTGGTGTTTCGCTCTATTTTGTGGCCAGAATTTGTTTTGTACTCTGATGAAGATTTAATTTCCTCATGTTTACCATATCTGAGTAATTGAAATTTCTCATCGTTGAACTTCATATTGTTTTCTGCAGCCCACTAAAAGATTTGGTTGATGTCCGCCTGGAGCCTTGCAGTGTCTGCAATGGAAGACACTGTCATGCAGATTCGGGTGTCATCTGCAAAGGAAGACACGGTGCTGTGGCTGACATCCTTGTCTATGTCGGATATGAGGGTGAGGAACAAGATGGGAGCGAGTACTGTGCCTTGTGGAACAGAGCTTTTCACCGTAGCTGCCTCGGACTTTACTCTGTTGACGACTACTCTCTGTGTTCTGTTAGTGAGGAAATTATAGATCCATCGACCGACTTTTCCTGTTATTCCTTTAGCACGCATTTTGTGCGCTATTACGCCATGGTCACACTTTTCGAAGGCTTTTGCAAAGTCTGTATATATTACATCTGCATTCTTTTTGTCTTCTAGTGCATTTAGGACCTTGTCGTAGTGATCCAATAATTGAGACAGACAGGAGCGACCTGTTCTAAACCCATGTTGCCCTGGGTTGTGTAACTGATGGGTTTCTAGATGGGTGGTGATCTTGCTTCTTAGGACCCTTTCAAAGATTTTTATGATATGGGATGTTAGTGCTATTGGTCTGTAGTTCTTTGCTGTTGCTTTACTGCCCCCTTTGTGGAGTGGGGCTATGTCTGTTGTTTTTAGTAACTGTGGAACGACCCCCGTGTCCATGCTCCCTCTCCATAGGATGGAAAAGGCTCGTGATAGGGGCTTCTTGCAGTTCTTGATGAACACAGAGTTCCATGAGTCTGGCCCTGGGGCAGAGTGCATGGGCATGTCATTTATCGCCTGTTCGAAGTTATTTGGCGTCAGGATAACATCGGATAGGCTTGTGTTAACCAAATTTTGTGGCTCTCATAAAAAATTCATTTTGATCTTCGACTCTGTCTGGTTAGCGGCTTGCTAAAAACTGAGTCATATTGGGACTTGAGTAGCTCACTCATTTCCTTGCTGTCATCTGTGTAGGACCCATCTTGTTTAAGTAGGGGCCCAATACTGGACGTTGTTCTCGATTTTGATTTGGCATAGGAGAAGAAATACTTTGGGTTTCTTTCGATTTCATTTATGGCTTTTAGTTCTTCCCACGATTCCTGACTCCTAAAGGATTCTTGTAGCTTAAGTTCGATGCTTGCTATTTCTCTGACCAGTGTCTCCCTACGCATTTCAGATATATTGACCTCTTTTAGCCGCTCTGTTATTTCTTTTCCGTCGCCTGTAAAGGGAGCGCCTGTCTCTTTCTATTTTACATCTACTCCTCCTTTTTCTTAGAGGAATAAGCCTTGTGCATACATCGAGTGCCACCGAGTTAATCTGTTCTAGGCATAAGTTGGGGTCTGTGTTGCTTAGTATATCTTCCCAGCTTATATCGGTTAGGACTTGGTTTACTTGGTCCCACTTTGTTTTTGTTATTGAAGTTGAATTTGGTGAATGCTCCCTCGTGACTAATCTCATTATGTCGGTCTGGGGCTCCACGCATACATGTCTGAACCTCAATTATGTTGTGATCTGAGTATATTGTTTTTGATATGGTGACATTTCTTATCAGATCATCATTGTTAGTGAAGATGTGGTCTAGTGTATTCTCCAGTCTAGTAGGCTCTATTATTTCCTGGTTTAAATTGAATTTTGTGCAGAGATTTAAAAGCTCGTGTGAGTTTTCATCAGAGCTGCCTCCTGGTGTTATTACTGCAACAATATTATTTGCTATATTCCTCCATTTTAGGTGCCTTAAGTTGAAATCCCCCAGGAGCAAGATGTTGGGTGCAGGAGCTGGAAGATTTTCCAGACAGTGGTCAATTTTTAACAGCTGTTCCTGGAATTGCTGGGATGTTGCATCCAGAGGCTTGTAGACTACCACAATGACTAGGTTTTGGTTCTCGACCTTTACTGCTAAAACTTCCACTACATCATTTGAGGCATTTAGCAGTTCTGTGCAAACAAGTGACTCTGCAATGTACAGGCCAACCCCCCCCCCTTTTGCCTGTTCACTCTGTAACATCTGTATAGGTTGTAACCTGGGATGCATATTTCGTTGTCCAAGTGATCCTTTATGTGGGTCTCAGTGAAAGCCGCGAACATTGCCTTTGCCTCTGCAAGCAGTCCACGGATGAAAGGTATTTTGTTGTTTGTTGCTGGCTTTAGACCCTGTATATTTGCAAAGAAGAATGTTATCGGACTGGTGGTATTGTTGGTACTGGGGGGGGGGGATTTTTTTTCCGGCATTAGTATCTGTATCTGTTGGTTTGGAGTGGAGGCCATCGACTGTGGTTCCACTCCAGGAATGACTGGATTTGGTGTACGATTTCTGCCATTTCCTGCCAGTTTTTTTTTCCTTCCTTGTGAACAAATAACAATTAAGCACAAATGAGTATTTCAAAGACAGGTCATATTGTCATTTACTATGTTTCTGTGCATTCAGTAGAATGGAGTATTCTGTTAGGTATTATTAAAAAATAAGAGTTTGATTGGGTCACATTTATGAGATACAGTTATTCAGTATTTATTTAGTTGAGGGTGAGTAAGTGATTTTTAAGAAGACTTGAATTTATAAACAGTGTGTTTCTTTTATATTCACAGGTAATGAATTCCGGATTTTAGGGCCTTTTATGCGCATTGAGTTTTTGCATAGTGTGAGATGGACACGAGGAACATCAAAGAGTGATCTGTGCCTTGTGTTATGGCCATGTGTTCTGTTGAGGTTGGCAAGGAGATGTTTGAGGGGAGGGTTTATATCAGAGTTTAGTGTTCTATGTATGTAGTAAGTACAATAATAAGTATGGATGTTTTGTATGGCGAGTAGGTTTAGAGTTTTGAATATTGGTGGAGTGTGCTGCCTGTAGTGGGAATTTATCATTCTGAATGCAGCCTTTTGTTGGGTAATTAATGGTCTGAGATGGTTTATTGTTGTTGAGCCCTATGCACAAATTCCATAGGTGAGATAGGGGTAAATGAGTGAGTGATATAGGGCCAGGAGGGCTGGCTGTGGAACATAGTACCGTATCTTCGATAGTATGCCTACGGTCTTGGAAATTTTTTGGGAAATTTGTTATACATGTGTTTGAAATTTGAGTATTATTAAGGTGGATTCCTAAGAATTTTCCCTCTGAGTTTTGTGATAGGTGATCCATTTATCACTATGTTAAGAGGGACATCTGTAGCTCTGTTACCAAACTGAATGAAGTAGGTTTTGTCAATGTTGAGAGTAAGTTTGTTGATCATCCAGGTGGATATTTTCTGTAATTCGGTATTTACAGTATTGGCTAGAATGACTGGGTTTGGGTGAGAGAAGACGTATGTAGTGTCATCTGCAAATAGTGTGGGTTTGAGTAGTTGCGATGCATTTGGTAGGTCATTTATGTAAACGAGAAAGAGAAGAGGGCCTAGGACACTACCCTGTGGGACACCAACTGTAATTGGGTGTGCAGAAGTTTGCTCCATTTGTGTACACATATTGGCTTCTGTTGCTGAGGTATGACTTTAGATAGTTGAGGGAGTGCCCTCTTGTACCATAGTGTGATAATTTTATATGGAGCAAATCATGGTCAACTGTATCAAATTCTTTACGTAAATCAATGAAGATCCCCAGTGGGACTTCTTTTTTTTCTCTAGCGCAATGTAGATTTGTTCTAGCATGTGTATAATAGCATCATTCGTATTTTTATTAGGCCTGAACCCAAACTGACAGAGGTTGAGTATGTTATGGGAGATGAAGTAGGAATAGATTCGCTTATGAATTAATTTTTCGAAGATTTTAGAGAGGGTGTAAGTTGGATATTGGCCTATAGCTATTCAAGCCTGTTTGGTCTCCTTTATGGATCGGGGTGACCCTTGCTATTTTGAGAACTGTAGGAAAGGTAGAGGATTCGATGGATTTGTTAGTGTTGCAATGATTGGTGACAGCACTTGCGACCCTTGGCTGTCTTCAAGGTGCTGGACAGGCACCTAAAGTCAGTACCTGACCAGCCATGATGTGGTTTGTACGTCGGCATGCATGCAGCCAACAGTAACAGTCTGGTTGATCAGACCCTGATCCACCATGAGACTTTATCACAGACCAGGCTGTGGGGGCATTGATCCCTGAAATCCTCTCCAGGAAGAGGGGGATCCAGCAGGGAAGTATTTTGGGCATCACATGATTTATTATGGCTATGGATGGTGTGGCTAGTGTTATCCCCTGTCTAGGCCTCTATGTATATAGATGTTCTTGCGCGACATCTGCTCCTGGGGTGGCCTGTCACCGTGACAGGTGGCAGTGGACATCACGGAGTGGGCTGCTTATAATAGCTTTGGTTTTTCACTCATTTTACAGAGTCCTTGGTTAGCCAACCTGCTTTCCAAGCACCAGACGAGCCTGGTCCATGGCCGGGCTCAGAGAGTAGAAAAACTCTCGAAACTCTTCAAAGATACATGTGTATATCACTATATGGTGTAGTCCTTCCCTATGATCAGCAAGTGACATTTTGGGGAATGATCGTTTGATTATCACATGACATTCGACTTTTGTGTGAATGAACTCTAAGTAAATGTGTGGGCATAAGAATGTCGTATGGTGCTCTGCCACCATACCTGCTGGGACTGATTGATGGATAGTGTTGTATCTGTATACAGCCTTGTGACATTCTAGACTAGGATATGGCTGCCTGATCTCAGCCAGTTCTTTCTTGCTATATTTGCTGAACCCTGTTCATCATCTTGGGATATTGCTTTTCACAAGTGTATTCCATACCTTCCCTGTTGAGAGCCTTTATGTTGAGTCTAGCAAGCTTTTCCTGGATCTCCTTTGTAAGCTCATCCCACATTACCTATTTCTGGTTTGACGTATTTACTTCAGGCAACCTGGCTTGTGCTATGATCTTTGCAAGGAGGGGGAGAAGCTCTATGCTTGCTGTATGAGGCTACTTATGCTGTTTGACTTTCGGATGCAGGCCCCTAACCTGGATTGTGACCTCAGTGTCTGCAGTCACAGACTGACTTCTCTCCCTGCCCTCTCTGGATGAGCATACCAAAGTGTTGAGCACCAATGGTGACCTTGGCTAATGGTTTTTAGCATAATTTGGTTCATGCTTCAAAGAGTATGGGTGGTGTTGGCTTTGCTGTGATCACTGCTGAGAATGCTAAGTGCTCACAGCTACCAGGAGTCTTTTGTGTTCATTGCACAGCTCTGCCTTAGTGGATCATGGCCTGATCAACCAGGCTGTTACTGCTAACTTTATTCCTAGTATATCTCCTTTTATTGTAGCTGATTTTCACAGTTGAGTTACCCGATTTAACTTTTAAGGTTTAAATAAGATATTACAAGGACCCCAGTGGAAATAAGTCAGTTTTTTTGGGGGGTTTTCCTAGATAATTTACACTGTATGATAATTATGCATGTGTACCTGTTGCTAAATAGATTTGCCTGTCTGCCCTAGCCCATTATACTTCTGTCCACCCTGTGGTCCTAAAGATCCAGGAGTGGATATTGAGTCTCCATGCATGGCAAAGTATGTAGAGTGATGTTGGTGTCCCAGGAAATGAACTTGTGGATGCTAAGCAAAGGCTGCTGTAATGAGCCCACTCCACAGTAGAACTTTTGTTCTACAGCAACTTCATTGGCCATATCTACAGATGTCCTTGGAAAATGGCAGGTCCAGTAGCCCCTGCAGACTGGGAGCAAGTTATGCAGGGTTTGGCAGAACATGGGTATTCAGCCCTCCTTCACACCAATAGCAACTTTGATAAGTCTTGACTGAGGACTGAGTTCATACATCTTGTAAATACCGTTTCCATCTTTATAGCTCATGGCATGCAGCTGACTCTGCAACACATTTTAACAGCTTGCCCACTCCTTAGGTCTTCCTGCCTTCATCATGGTTTTATAAGTACGTACAAGGCAGCCTGTGTGGATCTTGGAACTTTTAAGTCTTTTACACATTAATGATTGAATGGGTTTAAACTGATGTTAGTTATTTTAACTTGGTGTGATAGCATTTATTTGTGTTGAACATTTTATTCTTATTCTTGGCTTTTATTATTTAATTTGATCTTTATTTGTTTATATAATAATACTAAGTGTCAGTGGAACGCCTTCCAACTGAACAAAAGAAATTAATGGAAAAATAAATAAATAAAGAAATGATTTAGGAAAAACAAGAAAAATGATTTTTGAGAATTTTACTTAAAATTTAAATATAATAAAAAAAATTGGCCTTCAGTTCTTGTAGTTGGGTAGGAGTAGGTATGGCCCTGGATAGTTCCTCTGATGTTATTTATGTAGGTTATCCTGGGCAGATGGTAATCCGATGTTCTGGAATCTCCTACCACTTGGATGGAGCACAAGTAGAATAGGTAAGGGCCGGTAGTAGTAGAATAATGTTAATAAGTATTATTAACACACGTCTTGCCCCTTTATCTGGCGTCTATCCTGGAAGACCACGCCAGGAACAGAGCTGACAAATAAGAGAAAATAAAACTGGTTACCCATAGTCATGATAATATAACATTTAAGAAAGAAAAAGAATGATAAATGCCAAAATCATTACTGGTAACCAGCAAACACTAGAAAAGAACAAACAGTAATACTCCTGGTAGATCACCCTACCTGATTAGGAGAAGAGTGGAGGCGAAGTGACTCTCCAAACTTCAGTCCACACCAGGTAAGGTCAATATTACCAAGAGTAGAAACTAACAAATCGGACACCAGGAACTAGTTTTGCCCCAGCCCGCCAGAGAGGGGGGGGGTGAGTGCGCGCGCAACGTAACTCGCTAATGGTTCCTGGTTGCCCGAACAACCTTAACCCCACTTACACCTACTTTTCCCTCACACTAAGAGTACTGAGTGACCTACATGGTCAAAGTGCTCTGTAAATATCACCATTATTAGCAGTGTGCCAGTAATGTTAATTATGCATATTTTATTAGGGATTGCACATTATTAAATCCTATTTAAGATCTTTAGAGTTACTAATAAACTTCATCCTGGCCTACTGCCAGGATGCTCTTTTGAGTCAAAAGCTCGCTAAGTTTCATCTGCCTGTTTATATTTAGTGGTAAATATAAACAGGCAGCAGACAGAACTTAATATCTTGATTTCTACAAGTACATGTACAAGGTATACAGGCCTGCTGACATCAATGACATACTATACTACTACATGTATATAGAAAGCCCCTTGTTATGTAGAGCATTTCAGGCAATTAGGTCAATTTTGTCCCAGGATGTGACCCACACCAGTCGACTAACCCAGGTACCCATTTTACTGATGGGTGAACAGGAACAACAGGTGTAAGGAAACACGCCCAAAGTTTCCACCCTCACCGGTTATATTATCAGGGGACTTGCTCACTGAAGGGTTCTTTCCTACAGCCTTCCAATACATGCCCATTGTAATATCCACTCATAGAGCCTAAATATATACATGTATATAAGCATAGGGCATGGACATGCAATACTGGTTGTTTCAGTTAGAAAAAAAGTTACCTGGATAAAGATGGACTGTAATGCCAAATTGTTGAAAAAGGTGAATTGTGTAAGCAGTAATTATTACTTGGCAATAGTACTACGTACTGAGTAGTATGACCATGGGCATGATACACAAATGACATATGCAATATTATACATAAACATCATTAAATTTAATATAGATATTTATATGACAAGGATTTTATTCTCCACATAATGCCCATGCTAATAAACCAGCTGGTATCTGCTGTCTGAAACTATATCGCACAGCTGCACAAATACTGACAAACCAGGGACTTCAGTTCTCGATGCTGGGCACACACAAAATTAGGGAAGCACTACTACATGTGCACCTCCGAGCAAGACATTTCTTCCATCTGCCCATCTTCACCTGATGTGATGATCTGGGGGCTTAATTATATTATTGGATTCCTTCCAGGAAGTGGTGTGCAACTGTCGGGATCCATCCCAGTGAACTGCTCACTTATCACACATGAACACACCCTATTCTGTTAAGGTATATTTTAAGACTATTGATGCCTGTGGTGCCAAACTCTGGAATATAATGCTCATGTGTATGTTCACCTTTGTATATAATTAAATTATTCTACATGGATATCAAATATTGAGCTGTGCGCTAGGAGGTAACTGATAGCAATTTTGTACATCTTTCACTTATCAGTTTTCACATTATGGTGAATTGAGATATTTCAGTAAAATATATTCTGATATTCAGTAGAAATCTAAGAGCTGATTGATTAATTCTTGAGCTAGCCTCACAATGAGTACACTTTAGTGGAGTCATGTAGGCACTGCAAAATGTGATAAGTCGTGTAAATATGAGTGCATGGCTGTTTTGTCATATTTTGTAGAATATTTTAATAATTCGTACAAATAAATTTCACTTGTGGAAATTAAATACTGTATTCTACATGTGTCAATGAAAAATGTAAGTACATACTCCACTGTAATACTATACCTTATAAACTTCTACAGGATACACAAGCCAAGAGACTCCCTTCTTTCTTGGTCATCAGGATTCAACAGCTATGAAGGTTTTGTTAACTTGGGTCTCCTTGTCCTCATGCTGGGGGGCATCCGGCTCTTCCTCGAAAATGTTTTAAAGTGAGGAAATCTATTTTACTTGAAAGTAGATTATAATATGCCATGTAACCTTCAACTAATTGTTTTAATTATTTTATTTTTTAAGGACTATGTACTCTAAATAAATTTTTAACAAATTAATTGGCAACAGCTGCTACATAGAAATTTTTTAAACATTTTTATAGTGTGAAGTAAAAGGAGCAAAATGTTGCCACAATAAAATGTCACATTAGCTGTATTTGTGTCCTTTTACTTTACATATTGTCAGTAATTCTACCAACATTATTATTTTTATAGTGTACTGTAGATGCATAGTTATAATGAAAGATATGAAAATAGAATAGTTTGTATTGCTAATCTTATTAAAATGCAGCATTATGAAAATCCAAGCATTGTTATTTTGCTATTTGTATTACAGCAGTGATCTTACACAGATATGGTGTTCGCATCAACCCATTGTCATGGCTGTTGTGGATGAAACATGAGCATGAGACAGATTTCTACTACCACACTCCTTTGTTCCTCTTGGGTAACTTGATACCTTTTTTTTTTTTTATATCATCACACTGGCCATCTCCCAGGGTAGGATAACTCAAAAAAGGAAAATTCATCACCCATTCAGATGCTGTCTTGCCAGAGTTCACAGACATCACAATTTAAATGACCCTCAGAACTGTAACATCACCACCCCTCCTTCAGATTATGGGCACTGCACTTCCAACCTTCAGGAATAAAGTTTGGCTATCCTGTTTCTCTGAATCTGTTTGAATGTTACCTTGCTGACACTCCAATAGCACATCAAATTTCTAAAACCACTTTCTTCACATACTCTTCTTAGAAGAGGCATAGTACCCTGATGCTGGTGAGGATTTCTCGATCCAAGAAATGGGACTTCCTTTCCTTGGATCCTACCTGAATGCTTCCCAGTTCCCAGGTGCTGTTTGATCTCATGGATTTAATGGTTCCCCTGATTAAGATATAAAAAATCTACTCACCCCAACATGCCCAAATTGGCCTGCTGGATGCTCGTGCTCTAATATGGTTACCAAGAGATTGTCATTTAATAAGTTACTAATACAGTACCTGCATTCAGGTTAGGGTATTGACATTTGACACATTGCCAAATAAACAGGCCTATTTAGAGCATCTATTGAAGACAGCATCTTGCTATAATACTAATAGCTTTTTCATTTCCACAGAATATAGCTATATAAAAGCATATCATTTACTGGCAAAAAAACAGTGAGGGTGTGATTACAGTTGTGGGTTACTTACCTAGGTCACCTTTTTAGTAGAGGCTTTGATATAATCATCTTCAGCACAAAGTAGATCAAAAGTTGCAAGTTGATCTGTCAACTTGAATAGAAGCAGCTTCCAGAAATTTATATCTTTATCTGTATATTTAAAGATAACTGCTATTTTCTCCAATCCATAACACACAGCAGATCAAAAAATCATTGCATCCATTACTTTTCCTGACAAAAATAGTTACAGCCCCTATCTTTACCCCAAGTGATTTCCATCTGTTTGGGCCTCTGAGGTAGTTTCCAAGAGGACAGTATTTAGACACAAATGTGACAACAGCTGTGCAATCTGCTGACAAAACTACGCAGAAGGCATAGGCTTGGTGATTGTCAAGAAGTAACCAATGAACAATATTCAGTTTGGCTATATGTACTGTATTTTTTAAAGAAATATTAATGGTAGCAAAGACTTTTTGATCCTCCCTCATGATAGTGTAGGTCCATGTGTTTTAAGCATTACCTTGGGTTGCTTAAGTACTGTTGTATATCTATTACATAACTCTGGTGTCTAGAGTAAAATCTTTCCATGTACGTATACTGTAAGCATGAATCTTTCAGATGCCAGCAGTTTCTAAAGGTTACCAACTCTAACCTCAGAGTTGGGCAACTTGTATGTCCCATATGGGTTTAGTGCCTGTTTTTAATTCTGTATAAAAGTTGTGATGGAGAGAATTTTTAATTCTTGTACAGGTCAGCCATCACTGATCTGGCAATCACTAATCCAGTTCCATCACTAATCCGGCACTAATTTCGGCTAGTGTCATCAGTAAAAGTTTACGTCCCAAAGCTTTCAGAGGTATGATGCAGTTTCCTGTGATTTATAGCTACTAATCCAGCACCCTACAGGTCCCAATGATGCCGGATTAGTGATGGTCAATGTGTACTAGAAATTGATAATACAGGCCAATTTCTAACTTTTCATTATCTAAAATTTAGAAAAAAAAAATGTACTGTGTGAATTCATAAACAAAGCTTTAGTAGTTCCTTCATGTAAACCTTAGTTTTAATTAGCATAAAACTTAGTCTGTCTGCCCAAAATTTTGTGCATACCATGGGATTTTCACCTAATTGTATTGCTTATGTATAATGTTTGGTAAGTAAATTTTGTTTGAGAATTAAGCTCTATCCCCCCCAGATAAACGACCTAGAGTTGCAAGCCTCCTTATCCCTGCATTTGTTTCCTTTGTACTGTCAAATATATGTTCATGATTTTGTGTATACATTACGGTGTATTGCAAAACTTAGCTCGGTTTTGCGGCACTACATGGTATTCAGTGTACCATAATTACTGTGCTTTACTTAATGAACAAGCCTTGTAATGTTGCATACCATGGTTGAGATTGCAGTTTATAATTTTAACAAATCCCTTTAAATTTCCTTTAATGTACAGATGCAGAATGTTAACAGCATATGAAAAAATTATCTGTAATTTAGTAAAATTACTAAATTTTTAATTGGTAATTAGTTGAACAAATCCATTGATAAAATAGTCTTTATGTACAGTATGCCTAAAATATGCTGATTACCTAATGTAAAAGAATTCTCCAGGATTCATAAATTAATGTGTTATATTTTTAAATTATCATTTGCTAGAAGTTTACACTATTTTCTTAACCTTGACAGCTGCCAACATTCACGTAGTTTTTGCCTATCATCTAGAGCACCTCCTAGCTAAGGTAAGGTCAACAGCATCTGGAAAGGGTTTTGGGGGTCAACGTCCCTGTGGCTCGGTCTGAGACCAGGCCTCATGGTGAATCAGGGTCTGATCAACCAGACTGTTACTACTGGCCGTACGCCAGCTGACATACGAACCACAGCCTGGTTGGTCAGGTACTGACTTTAAGTGCCTGTCCAGTGCCTTCTTAAAGACAGTATAATACTTGTAGATTTGTTCACACCATGTGCATATTAATCACGTAATCAGCAATTTCAGACAATTATAGAAATTAATTTCATGAGGTTTAGATCATATTTATACATGTTGGTAAATAAATTTATACAGTAAAACCACTACTACAATAAGGGTTATAAGCCAGTACCATGTTACATGAGCATGTGAAATACTAATTGTGTGGAGTGACTTTGCCTTAGTTTTGCATAGTTTTGCTGACTTGGGCAGCCATTGCAGTGCTGTGTTGAAGTTAAATTGCCTACAGACAAATTGAAGTATGTATAGAACAAATGCAACAAGACTTGAATCTGTAATTCACCTCTATAATATAGTAATTGGCCCTTTCACTGTTGACTCCCAAAATTAAAACTGCTGACAGCACTGCAATTTAAAAAATATCTGTCATGGCAGAGAATCCTCCTCAAAGTAATGACACCAAAAATGCATAATTTGATGGAAAACTTAGAATTACACATATGCTAAGTTGACAGTTTGGGTGCAACTTGTACATTGCTGAACTTGGGTTCTCTTTTAAGATGATTCCAGTGCTGAAATAAGCCCTGTTTCTAGTTATTTCACCAGTATGTCTTCTGTTCTGTTGATTGAGCAAACAAAACTACAACAGAAACCAGAACAACAACAACATGGGAGAATTATTGCACATTTTCATCAATTGTGGTCGGTTAATACAATGTTGGAGTAACTATCAGTGAAATATTGATTTGAGCCAGAGCCCATCAATGCTTCAATGATGGTCTAATTGCAGTCATAACTACAATAACGCACGTAAACCCAGAATGACAAAAGATTAACAGTGATACCAACAAATCGAGAAATTGCCGATCGAAGTGAAGACTGCCCCTCAGACCCTAAACACAGCCCTGCTACCAGATGACCACTATGTTCCACAATCAGCTCTCCTTGCACTGTATCATCCACTTATCTACCCCTATCCTCCATATGGAATCTGTGCATGGGGATCAACATCAAATCACCTAGGACTACTAACAACACACCAAAAGGCTGCAGTCAGAATAGCAAATTCCCACTCCTGAGAGCATACTCCACCAATATTCAAAAGTCTAAATCTGCTCACCATGAAGAACATTCATACTTATTCATGTGCCTACTATATACATAGAACAATACATGCAAACATAAACCCTCCACTCAGACTTCTCCTCGCCAACCTTAACAGGACACAACCATAACACAAGACACAGATCTCTTTTTGATGTACCCCGTGTCCATATCGCACCATGTTAAAACTGTGTGCATAAAGGGCCCCCAAATTTGGAATTCATTACCCAAAAATATTAAAGAAACCCTGTTTGAAAATCAATTTAAGACTCTCCTCAAAAGCCACTTACTCACCCTAGACTAACTACTCAATATCTAACTTTACTAATAAATCACTTAAATCTTAAAACTTCAAGACTAGACAACCAAGTTCATACATACACCCAAAAATAGTATTGCCCTACACCAAATTGTAGCATTCTCATACTGTAAACTACTTTTAGCAAATCACAATGTTATATTCCCATAATATAATTATAATTACTTTTGAATCTATTGTCCATTGTCTACAGGAATATAATTGAATCATGCTTCATAAAAAGCATTTTTGAAAATATGAATATATCCTTTGGTTTATATAAATTAAATTCGTTTATAACTAATAGAACTACTGTACATTTATGATAAATTTCTTTAAAGTTAGGTAGTCAGTAAGCCATTATATTAAGTAAGCCCATAATGCTCTAAGCATAATAGAGGCTCTTTGCACTGCAACCCATTATTGTAAATACATAACCACAATGTATTACTTGCAAAGAAATAAATTTGAATAAGCATTGCTGTATAATGTGCACAGAAGTTGGTAATGTGGCCACCTTTACACAAAATTTAAACACAGGAAGAACTTAAAGCCTTAAATGAAATTAAAAAAAAAAAACTTTTTTTGCCAAATCTAGGGCAAAAACAACATACAGGATTGGGCCCCTGCTTAGACGAGATGAGACTTACAGAGATGAAAGCAAAGAAATGAGTGAGATACTGAAGTCTCAATATGACTCAGCATATAGTGAACCATTAGTCAGACTAAGGGTCAACAATCTAAATTAATTTTTTGACACTCAAAAACTGGTTGATTCAAAAATTTCTGATATCCTAACACCATAAGACTTTGAAAAAACAATAAATAACATGGCCACGCACTCTGCCCTAGGCTTAGACTCTTGTTCATCAAGAACCACAAGAAGTCCCTTTCGGTCCCTTAAGTATTCTATGGAGAGGAAGCATGGACACAGGGGTCATCCCACAGTTATTAGATTCAGACATAACCCCACTCCACAAAGGTGGCAGCAAAGCAATTTCAAAGAATTAGACATAACACTAACATCCCACATTATAAAATATCTTTGAAAGGATTTTAAGAAGCAAGATTGCCATTCACTTAGATACCCATCATATGCACAACCCAGGGCAGCATAGGTTTAGAGCAGGTCACTCCTGCCTAACCCAACTACTGGACCACTGTGCCATGGTCTTGGATGCTCTGGAGGACAAAATGCAGATGTAGTGTACACAGGCTTTGCAAAAGCCTTTGACAAGTGCAATCATGGTGTAACAGTACACAAAATGCATGATAAAGGAATAATAGGAAAGGTTGGTAGATGAATCTATAACTTCCAAACAAATAGAACAGAGTAATAGTAAACAGTAAAGTCTGAGGCAGTTAGTGAAAAGCTTCATTCCACAAGGGACAATACTCTCCCATCCAGTTCCTCATTCTAATATCTGACATGGACAGAGATGCAAGCCACAGCAACATGTCTTCCTTTGCAGATGATCCCAGAATTTTCATGAGTGTCATCCCTCAAAGATACTGCAAGTCTTCAAGCAGACATCAATCAAATCTTTAAATGGGCCACAGAAAACTATATGAAGTTCAATGAAGACAAATTTCAGTTACTCTGCTATGGAAAACTTGAGGAAATTAAAACTGTATTGGAGTATAAAACAAATTCCAACCACAAAATAGAGCAAAATGCTAATATGAAGGACCTGGGAGTGATAATGTCATAGGCACTTGCTTTCAAAGATCACAACAATGTATCTACTACATCTGCTAGGACAATGATAGGATGGATATTGAGAACCTTCAGAACCAGGGATGCCAAGCCTGTGATTATTTTCTTAAGTGCAGTCGAACCTCAGTTGTCGATTTCGTTATTTGTCGAATAAATCGGTTGTTGAAAGAGGCGTTTGAGAAAAAATTGTCCTTATTTTCATACGTTCTCTTGGTTGTCAACGGACAGATTTTCACATGTATGGAATGGAACAGAGGCTCAGGTCATGTGCTCAGAGTGCGCACTGGACAATGGATCAAGAGCATGGGTATGCAGTCAGCATGGAAGAAATTGTGGCCTGACTGTGTCAGCCAGGAATTTTGAAGGCTTTGAAAATGAGCCTGAGTTGGTAGAGGATGTGTCCCTGGGAAAGGCCTTGAGCCTAGAGGTGACTGAAGTTGATGTAGAGGAGTTGGAGGATAGAACTGAACTCACCACAGAAGAACTTCTAGACCTTCAGAAGGAACAGCAACAGATTGCAGTAGAGGAGCTGTCATCAGAGGAAGAGGAGGGAAGGGAAGGGATGATGTGCCCATTGCACTTGTCAAGGAAATGTGTGCTAAATAGCATGAAGTGCAGGAGTTAGCTGAAAAATACCATCCAGACAAAGCAGTGGCCATCCGTCTCTCTAACATGTATAATGACAGTGTAAAGTCTCAATTGAGACGAGTGTTAAAATGGAGACTGAAACAAACCTCATTGGATAGGTTTTTAGCGAGACAAGGAACCACCGAGCCAGAACAAGGACACTTGCCTGACAAATTAATAGAAGGCGACTCTCCTTCCAAGTAGTAACATACCCCCTCCTCTCCTCCACCTACTTTCAGTGTGCCATTAGCTCTCCTTTGACAGGTAAGGGGCAGTTAAATTTTCATTTACTGTATAGTATTTCAGTTAAATTTTCATTTAGTATTCATTTTTAGTTTCCCTTGCAATGTATTAAGATTTATTACATTGTCATTTAGGATCTGGAACGGATTAATTCTATTTACAGTATTCTTCATGGGAAAAATTGCTTCGGTTATCGAATCAACATCTGGAACGAATTAAATTCAACAACAGAGGTTCCACTTTAGCTTGCTCTCTCTAGGTTGGAGTATTGCTGTACACTAATGGCCCCTTTTCAAGGCAGGCAAAATTAGATCTTGAGAATATACAGAGAACTTTTACAGCACATATAAGTATGATAGTGCACCTAAATTACTGGGAACTGTTGAAGTCCATCGATTTGTACTCCCTGTAATGCAGGCAAGAAAGATGCATGACAATATATGCTTGAAAAATCCTAGAGAAGCTAGTCCCAAATTTACACAAGAAAATTGCAAAGACTTGGCAAGAGATGCAATATCCCCCCAGTGTAAAGTGGGGGTGCCATGAGTACACTAAGAGACCATACAATAAGTGTCAGGGGCCCAAGACTGTTCAGCTGCCTCCCAACATACATAAGGGGGATTACCAGTAGATCCCTGGCTGTTTTCAAGAAGGCACTGGATAACCACCTAAATTCAGTACCTAGCCAGCCAGACTGTGGTTCATACGTTGGTTTACATGCAGCCAGCAGTAAGTCTGGTTGATCAGGCTTTGATCCATCATGAGACGTGGTCATGTACCAGGCTGTGGGGGCGTTCACCTCTGAAACCTCCTCCAGGTACTCAAGAAAAAAAAGTTTTACCCTTTTTTGATAAATTATAATAATCCTTGGTTATGGTTTAGGCTGTGTCAATAATTGAAGCAGATTTAGTAAAAGCCCACAAGACAGATCAAGGAGCCAAGGGGATGATCCCTACTCGTCCTCAGGAAAATTGCCAAAAATCAAATATTTCCACTACTTTGAGCCACATATTGGGCTACTTCTGGTCCAAAATGGATCAAAATAATCTCCATTTCACTAGTGCATTTTCCATTCTATCAAATGATACCAAGAAACAGCCAATAAAACTATAAAATCCACTCAAAAAAACACTTCAAAGTTGCTGTTTTAAACCAAAGTCAAGGTCAGAGGTTTGCTTTTTCCCATCAGGTACTGTGTGGAGCAGTTTATTTTAAAACTGCACACTCACTGCACAGACCACTCTGTCTAGGCCAAAATTTTCTGTTCATAGCTTATTAACAGAGCTTAGCTCAAAACCTAGATCTACACGAGCGACATTGGCATCAGTGACTTAGATCTACACAATACGTGAAAAGATTAGATTTAACCCTTGAACTGTCCAAACGCAGATCTATGTTTTTGCGTGTAGCGCTCCGACCGTGATTTTCTCTATTTGAAAGCATGCAAAAAAAAATAGATCTACATTAGGAGCGCTACGCGAGCTAACGTAGATCTACGTTTGGACAGTTTAAGGGTTAATCACTACTTATAAAAAACTGCATAGTGGTTATAGTTGTGCACATGATGGAACAAAAGCATAACAAAAGTTTAAGTGGACGAGAACACAAGACAGACCAGGCTGCGGAGGCATTGATCCCAAAACCCTCTCCAGGTATATTCAAGGTACTGTATAGCTGGCATATTCTGTTCATGGAACAGAATATGCCAGAAATCTGTTTACATAGGGCTGTCTGTTAGAAATTTAATGTCATGGACATGTTCATGGATAAAAGCTTTAGGAAGAATAAGATATACGTATGTATGTGCATACCAGTAAGCTTTCATAACAAATGCTATACTACATTCATTACAGGACAAAATACGTGGCAATATTGAGTTCTATGTACATGCAGCACATTTGGGAATTCTTCTCTTCATACCAGTGGTCATCCTTGGTATCTGGACTCACATGTTTAGCCTCCGTAAGTGCAGTAATGCTTTTAAGTAATTGTTCCTTGAATTACTGAAAGTTTTGTGAAGTTCTAATTTGTAATTTGTCTAATTTTCTTTGACATAATTTTGCAGTGGGTCGAACAGTCATCTGTATAATTTACACAATATTGTTCTTGAAATTGTGGTCTTATGCACAAGTCAATCACTGGTGTCGCTCTGAGAAATCTTGGCGAAAAAAGGTCTCGAGGCGCAGAAGCTTCTCCTTCAGAAAAGCCCAAGACCGTAAGTAGTGTGATCATTGTCATGTTTACAATAAGCATAGAAAATAGTATACATTTAAGAATTATGCTTTCCAAACAAATGATTTGCATCCTAGTCTTTCTCGTGGAGTTATTCTCCATTAACACATGGAAAATGACCACTATACATCAGTCTACCTATGCACAAGTCTGCTAGTACTTCTTAGGAATCTAGATAAGACAGTCACAGATAAAAAGAAAAAGTAGAGTAAAACAAAAAGTGTTTTATGTTGTTGACAATGTCAATGTAGACAAGGTGAAGTACTCTAACAGAAAAACTTTCAAGTACTACATCTGTTACCATCATATTACGATGGTGTTTGTAGTTGAACATAACATTAGCAAACCTAACTTAATTTACTCTAATCTAACTTGACCTAACCTAATTTAACCATTCCTAATGGAGACCAACCTAACCTCCATTCTTATCCTCTAATAATTTTCAAAATGTCATCATGCATATTTTATGTAGTCTTATACATGTAATAAAGCTACTCAAGTTTTACCACATATTTTATATTTGAATTATTCTAGCTTAAATTCATCAAATATGTTCTGTGACTTTCTCAGATTTTTGGGAGCTGCCTAGCATGAGCCAGTTGGCCTACTGCAGTGCTGCTTTTCTCGTAAAAATCCCAAATACCCCAATCCCCGTCTTATTGCATTAATGACTAGGACATTTTCCCAATTACTCTGAATTTGCTTTGGCTTATAACGTGACTTGCATTGTGACATTGCATTGTGACATGTGGACTTCAGCTTAGTTAGATCCACAAAACTGTTCTGTTAGTGAGACTATTCCCTGGTTACAGTACTGTACGTACTAAGATTTTAAGTCATTGTGAAATTGGCAGGTGGTAGCAGAAATTAATTTTGCACTGCCTTTGTAATCTAGGCTTAAGGCACCATAGTTCGTACTTCAAGAAAAATGCATACATACATCACTTAACCTAATTTTTTTTGCTCTGTTTTTAGAATCATGATAAAATTTGTACAACTATTCAGGCTCCTGCTTGTCAATACACAGGCAATTTCACATGCTCCAAATGTACTAAAAATCACCCACTTAAAACATTCCTACTTCACCTTGCCTATCTTTCATAATCCACAGCTCTAAAGCTTATCTTCTCTGCCCTACCTTGTATAACAAGTAGTTTATATAGGTCAGTTACCCTAATTGTATAATGTATTGTACTTCACTAATAGAAAGTTTTTTGTTTGCTTGCTTTATGATCTGAATATTTACGTAAAAATGAGACTGTACAAAGCCTCTATATACATTCATAATTTCATGCATCTGTGTGTAGTCTACACTTTATTTAAATGCCAACAATATGACCAATGTGTACTGTATAATTATTTTTTTTACTTTTTAATAGATGCTATCAATGAAGAAGAGTGTGATGAAACTACAGCACTCAATTTAACACAGTATCCAGATAACCTCACCTTAGGTGATCTCTATTATTTCTTAGCTGCACCAACACTCTGTTATGAATTAAATTTTCCTCGGAGCCAACGAATTAGAATACGGTGAGTTAAAATTGCAGTGCTTTGCTAGACATAATACCTGTAATTGACTTGGAATTCAAACATTCAGCACGGCAAAATAAATGTTGGCTAAATACAGTAGGAAATGTCAGTTTGCATAGACTGCTTGAGCAATCCATATTTGCTCAGTGTGAATTTTGAACTGTTCAGTAGGAAATTCTTGTATATCTACAAATTAGGATTGCTCTTGCAAGACATTAATCTTGGAGACCTGGCTCCGTGGCATAGCAAGAGGAGAAAGGAAAGCACTTGCTACTCCTGATCTTATTTGAAGCCGTTTTTGCCCTTTCCTTTTATCAGCTGCGGTAACTTTCCTAATTTCATACATGTTGTGAAGCACAGAACTTGAAGAATTGACTCGACCATTGCATAGATATAGGCTAAATTTGTTTTATCAATAAAAAGTTGACTAATAGTTCTCATTGCTTTAAAATTAAGGATTTTAATAAATGCACATGAACCACAAAATGACAGTTACTACCATGATATAAAGGTGTTTTCACATCCAAAACTATTGTCTAAATATCACTCTTATCAGATTTTCTTTAGAGCTGAGTTTATGGTAAATTTTTGTTTATGCCACTGGTCTGGCTGTGATAGTAGGATGAAGCCTTCACCACTCCTTGTGCTGAATGATAAATGTGGGTTTGGCACTTTGAATAAATGTAATGCATTAATAGCAATCTCTCATTTCTGTTTTGGCAATATTTCATATACTGTAGGGCCCCACTTTTCGGCGTTTTGCCTTATGGCATTCCGCTAATACAGCGATCTCAAATTATGACCAAGACTTTCTATATGGCAAGTGGTCTTTCAAATACAGCATGGGCCACCTGGTTTGTTTACATTCTCGATGAGCACATATCTATTATGTAATAATAATCACTCTTGGGTACATTAAATGTCTAATATTGCATCAGTATAGACATTTTCATTAATCCATCTATAATATTTTCTTCAAAATTACATAAGAAACACGTTACATAACATATAAACGTTTTGTTTATATACTATGGAGGTGTGGTAGCCGGGCGGTGGGAAAACATTACTTCACTCCCCTTAATACATAACGCTTTTGTTTACAATTCTCGGCTTCAATTATTCATTACTTCTCCCTTTGTTTATGATGGCATCTAAAGGTAGTTGTTATAAACGATTAAACTCGGTGAACATGGTATGTCAATGGTAATAATATGGCTCTGGGCCACATTAAATATCGCGTAGCTATGTAGGTAGGTGTAGGTATGTAGCCCAGGAGGACTACGTACCTACATTATTATTATTATAACTGATACGTATGTGTACCTGTACCTTACTAAAATTACACACTGTGCTAGCATGCAGGTACACATTAAAATCACTACGTTGTCTTATTAGTCTTGAAGATGCCTTATTAATAATGATAATAATAACAACAATAATAATCACTCGAAGGAGCATTAAATATCGTATAAAACATTAATATAGACTTTTTGCTTAATCCATCTAAATACACCCCACAGTAGAATAAATTAACATAAATATGAGATGTGGTAGCCAGGCGACTTGTAGGACTTGTGGTAGCCAGGCGACTTGTAGGACTTGGGGTAGCTGGGCAACTTGTGGTAGCCAGGCAACTTGTAGGACTTGTGACGAAAATCAGATGCGTTCATCTGGTTTGTTTGCATTATGTGTGGGTAGGGTGGGGAGGGCTGCCCTTCCTGGCTACCCATACTTCCCAACCTGACTTCATACAAATATAATTCACCTCTCACTGTACATTAAGATTACAGATATTTTAGGGTAATTAATGAGTGTACTATGTACGCATTTTATCGCTCTAGGGAGCGTAAGTATAAGTGGCCAGGCAGGATACCATACCTCCCACATGACTTTCTACAAATAAATACTTTTCACCTCTCGCCCTACACTAAGACCATTAAGGCTACAAATATTTTAAAGTAATGCATGTACTGTATATGCATTTTATCACTCTGGGGAGCTTTAAGCATCGTAGTATATTATGTGTGGGTGGGGTGGCAAGGAGGGCTACCACACCTGAATTCTTAGAGTAAATACTACTCGCCTTTTGCCCTACATTAAGACTACAAATATTTTGAGGTAAATAATGAGTGTACTGTGTATTTTGTTTTTTAATGCCTAGTTCTATTGCTAACTTAATATATGTTAAACTTATCTGGCATTTACATGCATTTATAAATGGAAAAAAATGGAGTTCTGCTTTCCAGCGAAGTCTGCTTTCCAGCAGTAGCCTGGAACCTAACCTTTCGAATAAGTGGGGCCCTACTGTATTCATTATTTTTTGCAGTCTGCTCTATACTGCAGTTGTAAATTTTTGGTGCCTGTGTGTATTATGTCAACTTCACTGAGTTTCCTGAAATTTCTTTTCACACCATACCTTTATTTAATTTAATCCTTTGTATAAAGAACAGTATACAAATTCCAATATTCACAACAGCAAGATACTTCTAGCTACTGTACTGTACAGTGGTCCCTTGAGTTATCACATTAATCCATTCCAAAAGATATATTGTACTTCAAAACTAGCGTAACTCAAACCCACAAAATACATGATTCCATGGAAATTCATTCCAAGACTCTGAAAGCGCAACTTTTACTATACCTTGGACTTGAACTGGTGGTTGAGGAAGGGTCGGGGGGAAAGGCTACTGGTAGGAAGTAACTCCTTCCAACTGCTGCCTCTTGGAAAAACTGTCCAGCATTTTGTTTGTCACTTTCTTCTGAGACTTAAAACAAGATGCGTAAAGCATTTTCTTTAAGAACACAGGAAGTGAGTACAGTTTTTTAGTATCTTGGTGCTTTGTGATTCTTTTTACAGCTTCCCAATGAGTAAAGAACTGAATTTCCACAGATGTCGCCTGATAGTCGACTTTCTCCACTTTTTCCTTTCCACTGTCCTTCTCGTCCATCGCCCCAAATTCCTGGAACTCCTCTGTTGTCAGCTGTGTATGATCCTGAATTAACTCCTCCCATCCTCAACATCCAACCCCATTTCCACACCAAGAGTGGAAACAGTCTCATGGTTTACATCATCCTCAGCCTCAAATCCTTCAGTCATAGGTGACTAAGTTGCAAGTTCTTCCAGGCTGCATTGAGAGACAGTGGAAACCTCATATCAGTTCAGTATGAGCCTCAGACAATCCAAAATGCCTCGAGGCTGTATCTCTTAGTTTCTGCACGGCACTTGACAAACATCTTGATCTAAGTCATCTTCAAATTCACAATCACTTGCTGGTTCATAGGCTGACACAGAGGAGTGGTGTTGGGTATGAGCATCGTATCTCAAATATTTCATCGCAACTCGCAGCTAAATCCCTTCATGAGGGTAAATTGTAACTCAGAATTATCATAATGCAAAACCATTGTAACTCAAGGAATCACTGTATTTCACCACAACTTTAAATGTGTATTAACAGTAAATTTTTATCTTAAATTCTTTCTATACCTTTTTATACATAATTGTGCTAGTATAACATTTAGTGGTATATATCTTTTTAAAACAGCAGTGGTGACATGTTTGCATGACTAATTTCATAAAGGTTCACAATGTCAGTATCTGCAAGAAAATGTGTTGAATATCACATATAGCTTGTCTGATAATATCGCACCTCTCATTAATGGTACATTGATAGGTATTTATAGTCTTGTATTGCCATTTCTCATGCACATACCAGATTGAAATTTCAACTGCATCTTGTATGCTAATATTAGTGATGAAAATGCTCTGCATAACTAGGGGCTTTCTATAAAGTATGTAAATAACATCACCTTTCCAGATCAATTGTGAACCATAGTTTCTACAAAGTTTATCATTTATTAATTTTTTTTTTAAATACAAAGAAACCATAATTATGGTTCTCAGTTTTAATGAAGTTCCTTTGTTTACTGCTGTAATTCTTGGCAGATTTCTGTTGCGGCGAATGCTGGAAGTGATAGTTATAAGTAACATCTTGTTGGCTATGTTTCAACAGTGGATCATCCCCAGTGTTAAAAATTCATTCAAAGCATTTTCTGTAAGTCAGATACAATATTTTATTTTACAAAATTAAAAAGTTTGAAGTAATTATTGTAAATCATTTCTGTTACTTGGCATACAAAGCAATGATTACAGAATTTCCACAGATGTGGTAGTTAAAAAAAAAAAAATTACATACAAAGTGTTAACCCTTTCACTGTTGGTCACTTATATCTACATCAATGTCACTCAAGTAAAGCTATGGATAATTCATAGCACCCACAAATTTCCTGTAATGGGTAAATTTTGGCTTAAACATGAGAGAATAGGTATTTGGTGGGTGTATACAATATGAAAAAAAATCCTACCCCATGAAGTTAATGATGGAAACAACTAATGTCTGACCCTGCATTTGGATTACAACAGCAACTTTGGGGTGTATTTCAGGGTAATATTCATGGTTTTGTTGGTCATTTCTTGGACATGATTTAATCAGTTTTAGACAGTGATCTAAATCATTGCCAGAAATATTCTTTTTGGGCCACCCCACCTCAGTGGGATACGGCTGGTATGTTGAAAGAAAAGATGTGTGTGTATGTATATATATATATATATATATATATATATATAATATATATATAATATATATATATAAATATATATAAATATATATAATATAAATATAATATATGAGTCCTGGAGATGGGAAGTACAGTGCCTGCACTCTGAAGGAGGGGTGTTAATGTTGCAGTTTAAAAACTGTAGTGTAAAGCACCCTTCTGGCAAGACAGTGATGGAGTGAATGATGGTGAAAGTTTTTCTTTTTCGGGCCACCCTGCCTTGGTGGGAATCGGCCGGTGTGATAATAAAAAAAAATAAAAAAATAATATATAAATATATATATATAAATATATATATATATATATATAATATATAATAATATATATATAAATATATATATATATATATAAATATATATATATATATATAAATATATATATATATATATAATATATATATATATATATATAATATATATATAATATATATATTATATATATATATATATATATATATATTATATAATATATATATATATATATATAAATATATATATATATATATATATATATATATATATAAATAGGTAGTAGGTTGGTAGACAGCAACCACCCAGGGAGGTACTACCATCCTGCCAAGTGAGTGTAAAACGAAAGCCTGTGATTGTTTTACATGATGGTAGGATTGCTGATGTCTTTTGTCTGTCTCATAAATATGCAAGATTACAGGCATGTCTTGCTACTTCTACTTACACTTAGGTCACACTACACATACATGTACACATTTATTTATACAAACTCATCTGAGTTTTCTTTGATTTTATCTTAATAGTTCTTGGTCTTATTACTTTTCCTTTTATATCCATGGGGAAGTGGAATAAGAATCTTTCATCCGTAAGCCATGCTTGTTGTAAAAGTCAACTAAAATGCCAGGAACAATGGGATAGTAACCCCTTTTCCTGTAAAGATTACTAAAAAGAATAAGAAGAAAATTGTCAAAGTGGGAAGTCTGAATGTGCGTGGATGTTGTGCAGATGATAAGAAAGATGATTGTGGATGTTATGAATGAGAAGAAGCTGGATGTCCTGGCTTTAAGTGAAGTTTTCAGTGAAGAGTTTCAGTGGAGAGGAATAAATGATTAGGTCAGGGGTTTCAAATAGTTAGAGCTAAAGAAGGAGTAGCAATAATGTTGAAGGATAAGCTATGGCAGGAAAAGAGGGACTATAAATGTATTAATTCAAGGATTGTGGAGCAAAATAAAGATTGGATGTGAAAAGTGGGTTATAATAAGCGTGTATGCACCTGGAGAAGAGAGAAGTGTAGAGGAGAGAGAGATTTTGGGAAATGTTGAGTGAATGCGTGGGGAGTTTTGAATGAAGTGTGAGAGTAATGGTGGTTGGGGATTTCAATGCTAAAGTGGGTAAAAATGTTATGGAGGGAGTAGTAGGTAAATTTGGGGTGCCAGGGGTAAATGTAAATGGGGAGCCTTTACTTGAGCTATATGTAGAAAGAGATTTGGTAATAAGTAATACATATTTTATGAAAAAGAGGATAAATAAATATACAAGGTATGATGTAGCACGTAATGAAAGTAGTTTATTAGATTATGTATTGGTGGATAAAAGGTTGATGGGTAGGCTCCAGGATGTACATGTTTATAGAGGGGCAACTGATATATCGGATCATTATTTAGTTGTAGCTACAGTTAGAGTAAGAAGTAGATGGGAAAAGAGGAAGGTGGCAACAACAAGTAAGAGGGAGGTGAAAGTGTATAAACTAAGGGAGGAGGAAGTTCGGGTGAGATATAAGCGACTATTGGCAGAAAGGTGGGCTAGTGCAAAGATGAGTAGTGGGGGGGTTGAAGAGGGTTGGAATAGTTTTTAAAAATGCAGTATTAGAATGTGGGGGCAGAAGTTTGTGGTTATAGGAGGGTGGGGGCAGGAGGAAAGAGGAGTGATTGGGGGAATGATGAAGTAAAGGGTGTGATAAAAGAGAAAAAGGTAGCTTATGAGAGGTTTTTACAAAGCAAGTGTTATAAGAAGAGCAGAGTATATGGAGAGTAAAAGAAAGGTAAAGAGAGTGGTGAGAGAGTGCAAAAGGAGAGCAGATGATAGTGGGAGAGGCACTGTCAAGAAATTTTAATGAAAATAAGAAAAAATTTTGGAGTGAGTTAAGCAAGTTAAGAAAGCCTAGGGAAAGTATGGATTTGTCAGTTAAAAACAGAGTAGGGGACTTAGTAGATGGGGAGATGGAGGTATTAGGTAGATGGCAAGAATATTTTGAGGAACTTTTAAATGTTAAGGAAGAAACAGGCAGTAATTTCATGCACTGGTCAGGGAGGTATACCATCTTTTAGGAGTGAAGAAGAGCAGAATGTAAGTGTGGGGGAGGTACGTGAGGCATTACGTAAAATGAAAGGGGGTAAAGCAGCTGGAACTGATGGGATCATGACAGAAATGTTAAAAGCAGGGGGGGATATAGTGTTGGAGTGGTTGGTACTTTTGTTTAATAAATGTATGAAAGAGGGGAAGGTACCTAGGGATTGGCGGAGAGCATGTATAGTCCCTTTATATAAAGGGAAAGGGGACAAAAGAGACTGTAAAAATTAGAGGAATAAGCTTACTGAGTATACCAGGAAAAGTGTACAATAGGGTTATAATTGAAAGAATTAGAGGTAAGATAGAATGTAGGATTGCGGATGAGCAAGGAGGTTTCAGAGTGGGTAGGGGATGTGTAGATCAAGTGTTTACATTGAAGCATATATGTGAACAGTATTTAGATAAAGGTAGGGAAGTTTTTATTGCATTTATGGATTTAGAAAAGGCATATGATAGTGGATAGAGGAGCAATGTGGCAGATGTTGCAAGTATATGGAATAGGTGGTAAGTTATTAAATGCTGTTAAGAGTTTTTGAGGATAGTGAGGCTCAGGTTAGGGTGTGTAGAAGAGAGGGAGACTACTTCCCGGTAAAAGTAGGTCTTAGACAGGGATGTGTAATGTCACCATGGTTGTTTAATATATTTATAGATGGGGTTGTAAAAGAAGTAAATGCTAGGGTGTTCGGGAGAGGGGTGGGATTAAATTTTGGGGAATCAAATTCAAAATGGGAATTGACAGTTACTTTTTGCTGATGATACTGTGCTTATGGGAGATTCTAAAGAAAAATTGCAAAGGTTAGTGGATGAGTTTGGGAATGTGTGTAAAGGTAGAAAGTTGAAAGTGAACATAGAAAAGAGTAAGGTGATGAGGGTGTCAAATGATTTAGATAAAGAAAAATTGGATATCAAATTGGGGAGGAGGAGTATGGAAGAAGTGAATGTTTTCAGATACTTGGGAGTTGACGTGTCGGCGGATGGATTTATGAAGGATGAGGTTAATCATAGAATTGATGAGGGAAAAAAGGTGAGTGGTGCGTTGAGGTATATGTGGAGTCAAAAAACGTTATCTATGGAGGCAAAGAAGGGAATGTATGAAAGTATAGTAGTACCAACACTCTTATATGGATGTGAAGCTTGGGTGGTAAATGCAGCAGCGAGGAGACGGTTGGAGGCAGTGGAGATGTCCTGTTTAAGGGCAATGTGTGGTGTAAATATTATGCAGAAAATTCGGAGTGTGGAAATTAGGAAAAGGTGTGGAGTTAATAAAAGTATTAGTCAGAGGGCAGAAGAGGGGTTGTTGAGGTGGTTTGGTCATTTAGAGAGAATGGATCAAAGTAGAATGACATGGAAAGCATATAAATCTATAGGGGAAGGAAGGCGGGGTAGGGGTCGTCCACGAAAGGGTTGGAGAGATGGGGTAAAGGAGGCTTTGTGGGCAAGGGGCTTGGACTTCCAGCAAGCATGCGTGAGCGTGTTAGATAGGAGTGAATGGAGACGAATGGTACTTGGGACCTGACGATATGTTGGAGTGTGAGCAGGGTAATATTTAGTGAAGGGATTCAGGGAAACCGGTTATTTTCATATAGTCGGACTTGAGTCATGGAAATGGGAAGTACAATGCCTGCACTTTAAAGGAGGGGTTTGGGATATTGGCAGTTTGGAGGGATATGTTGTGTATCTTTATGTGTATGCTTCTAGACTGTTGTATTCTGAGCACCTCTTCAAAAACAGTGATAATGTGCGAGTGTGGTGAAAGTGTTGAATGATGATGAAAGTATTTTCTTTTTGGGGATTTTCTTTCTTTTTTGGGTCACCCTGCCTCGGTGTGAGATGGCCGACTTGTTGAAAAAAAAAAAAATAAATAATATAAATATATATAAATATATATACGTAGTAGGTTGGTAGACAGCAACCACCCAGGGAGGTACTACCATCCTGCCAAGTGAGTGCAAAACGAAATCCTGTGATTGTTTTACATGATGGTAGGATTGCTGGTGTCTTTTGTCTGTCTCATAAATATGCAAGATTACAGGCATGTGTTGCTACTTCTACTTACACTTAGGTCACACTACACATACATGTACACATTTATTTATACAAACTCATCTGAGTTTTCTTTG